AAGAGCTGAAGAAACTTCTTGGGCGATCTGGTGGTCTAAATGAATCTGATGCAGAGGATGATGAAGATGATGGTGATGATGGCGATGACGATGATGTATGGGTTATGTCTTTCACTCATCCATCTTTAATTTTGTTTATAGATGTGCTATAAATGTTTGCTGTTCATTGCGCTCCATAAAAAGATGAAAGATAAGCACAGCTTAGTGCAAATCGCTATCCCTTTGTGGTGAGGAACTGATAGCTTTTGCATTTTCTGTGATTTATGAGGAATGGCTGATTGGTTTAATTTCATTGGAATACTATGAAACCTTGCACATGGTTGAACCTAGAGTTCAGCATTCTTCATCCATTAATGCTGGTTGATTATTTATTCTTTTTGTCCAGGTGGATGATGAGGTTGGTGTTCTTCCTGTGATTGCTACAAAAAAACAGAAGGAGCCTAAGGAAGAACCTGTTGACAACAACCCTTCAAAACCCCCAGCAACAGGTCCTGCTCGCGGAACACCTACTTCAAAGTCTTCGAAGGGGAAGAGAAAAATGAACGAGGAAGCAAAACCATCTAATAGTGCACCACCAAAGAAGGTGAAGACAGAAAATGTAAGTCATTGCTTTTTGTGAGCTTACTTAAAGATGAGAGACCCTTTATTATAATTATTACTGTACTTTGCCTTTTCATGAAATCTTGGCTGCTTTGATAATTTTCTAAATATCCAGAACTGAACTATTAAATTGGTCTTTAGCTTACTTTTGGGAAGTTTTATTGCAAAGTCGAGAGTTCTTAACTGTGCTTTGTGAAGCTGTTTTGAGAAGATTTGGACAAAAAAGACCCGGAATTAACTCGAAAGCACATTTCTTTTGATGCATCCAAACTCGATATGGCTTCTGCTTATTCTATAAGAGATCTTTGAAAAACTTCTATTGTCAAATAAGTTATCTTTTGTTACAAAATGAGCTTAATTTTAAAAGCTATACCAGCAGGTTTTCCTATAACTGTTAATGAAATTCATCATTCTCTTATTGAGTCAGGAATCAAAAGCATCTGTCAAAGATGTAAATGGGTCTGCATCTAAAAGTAATGCACCTCCAAAAGGTACACCTTCAGTACCTCCACCATCAAAAGCTGATTCTTCCACCACAGCTTCTGGACCTGTGAGCGAGGAAGAAATTAGGGCTGTTTTAAGGCAAAAGACTCCAGTGACCACACAGGATCTTGTAGCTAAATTTAAGGCAAGACTCAGATCTTCAGAGGTAAGCTCTTATTTTGCTTTACCCTCCTTTAACCTGGATATGTTTGCTTAACCATTCTTATAACCAATGTGTATGCCAGTCACATTGTTTCATCATGCGTAACACCTGGGTTTTCTTGTTCCCTCCTCCCCCATTCCCTGGCTCATTCTTAATCAACAGTTGGGTAAATATTGATCTTCTGAAGAAGTATAATTAGCTCCAATTTTTATGCTTTTATTTCTTACTTCATACATCTATTGTGACCAGGTAGCCTGATGAGTTTGTATTTAAACTTTGGCATGTGCAGGATAAGAAAGCGTTTGCAGAGATACTGAAGAGAATCTCTAAGATACAGAAAACTACAAATGGATCCGGTTATGTCATCCTGAGAGATAGTAGGTGAGAATGTATTATTTCAGTGACTGTTTGATATGGACGACCTTAATCACCATTCAGTGTGCGACTCCTGTTTTTTAAACTCCTTCAAAAACTTGACTTCATAATTCACAAATGGTTTACAACTTCCAAATATGAGTGAATATAGAGATATTATATATTCCAGCTTTTACAAGTTTAAATGTGTAAGAATAATAATAGTACTTATACATATCATTACATATATTTTTCGTCTCATTGTTTGTTACATATTATTTTAGATGACACTCATAGATCTTATTATAATTTATCTGCATTTCAAAATGCATGGTGACTCGTGTGAGATAACTTATGATCTTCAGAAATACTGTTAACCAATGTACATTATTAATAGGTGGAAGCAATGGATTGGAAAACAAACTAGCCACTGATAGTTGAATTAGTAATTGCAATTTCATAAATTAAAACGAACAGTTGTAATGTGGTCAAGATTCTAGATATCAAGTTGTAATGTGGTCAAGATTCTAGATATCCAACACTACAAATAAATATTTTTGTTGGATATCAATACCCCAAGTTTCTTTTATGGAAACACTTGTCCCGAAGTATTATCCAAGCTTATACTAGAGAATTGTGTCAATAAGCAAGGCCTATGGTGACTCAGAACATGAGAATTGTGTTGTAACTGGAATGAGACGTGCCAGAAGGTGTAGTGTGCTTAGCTGCCACAAGTGTTGTTTGAGCAGAATCTCAAAGTGTAGGTTGAGACCATTATTACAGTTCCCTGGACTGAGATTACTAACCTTGTTTCGGGCAATGACATTGTCAAAATAGAAGGAAATTTCTAAAAACAGAAAGTAATAAAAAATAACATTCTGATTAGCTTAGGACAAAGTATGAGATGTTGTTCGGGACAGGTGATCTATGTCCGTAAACCCTCCTCGTACATTCTGATAGGGTTGGTCACATCACATGACTCATATTCTTCTCTGCTTTTCCCCTGACTGATTAATCCCTGCTCGATAGAGTATGTGAACCCTGCACGTTTTCTTGGTACGTGACACATGCCCACAAAATCCTAGTATCATTCATAGAATTGAAAGAAGGCATGATGCATAACACAATTAATTCATTTCTCTTTAACACATTAAGTGAGGGGATAGGTTCACTACACCACATCAATTCATTCTATTTACAGTTTAGATGCTATCCATATACTTTATGTTTGTATATTGGACCTCTTGGATTCGTTTTTTGCCACTAAAAGTGGAAGCTAAATACATCCCAGATATTGATGAACCTGTCAATTCTTCATTTACATGGGGAAGTGGTTACACGTGTATCAAAGATTGTGTTCTCAATTCTGTTGATAAAACACTCTGTTTCTACTATCACATGTTGCCATGTATGTTTTCTCTTATGGCCAAGAGACTAACCCATGCAAATAGAGAATGAGAGAATTGAACAATATTTCTCTAAATATAAAAGGTACGCAGAGAAGTTGATTAACTCTTCCGTCAGAAAGCAGATTATACTTTTTCATATTAGCTTATTTAGACAACCCAAAAATATATAATAAATATGCTCGCTAGAGTGTTCTTTACTAAAGCTTTTGAAATTTAAAGGAATGTTGTGGGTTTTGAAGACTATAAATAATATCATGATTTTTGAGATTTTGTAAATATATATTTATAATCAAGATCCTGATGTTTGGATTTTATTAACAAAATTTAAAGACTTTATAAGATTTGAGTAGATTGTATCAAACAAAATACCTTGAAAAACTATGGCTGAAATAAAACTTTAACAGTTTATCACTATAGTTGAAAAAACCCTAGATAAATGTTCCATCAAAATATTAATATTGTAACTTAGGTTTATGGAAGAGAATGTTCTCATGATATATGTTCAAAAAAGTTATTTGCTTTGGTGTCAAACAATAGTTTTGAATGGAAGGTAATTAGTAAAAAAATTGTTTTGTTTCAACAAAATTGTTTTGGTGGCCGAATTTGAGGAATTTGACTCGCTCTCATGAGATTTTTGGTGTTTGGTTTGAAGCAAATCTTTGGAAAACTATTGGAGATGACACTTACTGTGGTCAATAAAATTTAAAGGAGATTTTCCTATGATTACTTTTGCTTTGAATAGACAAGCATTAGTTGTTAATTATGGAGAATGCATTGATGATAAATGGCATTGAAAGGTTTTAGTGGAGATGTTTCAAATTTAGGGTTTATGCATACTACCCAATTAGAAGTAGGCAACAATCTTCCAAAGTGATAGATTCTCTTTGCTCCCTCAAAGGATTCTCTTTGAAATTTATTGACTCAAAGAATAAATTTTTTAAACTTACTTCATATTTTAATCATCAAGAATACAATTATATGTCTTATTTAGAAGAAATATTATTTAATGGGTTGAAGACTTAAATTGTATCATGTACTTAGACCATCCCAATCACTTAATCATTTATTTATCTCATGTACATGTGCCTTGAATGTGTGGTATGGCTTCTATGTGTGACTTAAGATTCTTGTACTTTTTATTACTCAAATCCATGTTTGTTTTTGTATCATGTGTGCTTCGACCATCCACGGTCAATTGATCAATACTAAGATGCACCACATTCAAAATTTAGACTTAATTCAAGTTAGTTCATGGTATTCTTTTAAGGTTGGAATAAAGGCTTTGCCTTTTAATCGATGGGTGCATTGACCCTTAGTCCTTTGTAGTTAATATTTGTACTCACCATATTTCTTGATTATGTTCTGGATTAGGTTAGCAACCTCATCCTATTTCATTGAGTAATACAAAAGCTATGCTGAAATGTGCAGAATAACAACATACAATTCCATTTGACCAAAAATATTGCCCATTTTAATAAACATGAGAAAATAATACGTATTTTTTCATATATATGAGTTAAAAAAGTTTTACATTGATAATGCATAAACATTGAACTCTTGTCATCATTTTAATAACTTAATTAATAAAAAAAGAGTCACTGCATCAACAGTACAAATGTTATCCATCAATATTATATTGATATTCAATTGTATTAAATATTAAATATTAAATAAAATAAAATGTTTTTATATTTAATAAATACAATGTTCTTATCAATATCAAGAAGATAAAACAAAAATCAAAGTGTAGGCACCTTTAGACGCAAGCTGCAAAATAAAAGCAGATTGCCTGGAAAGTGACCATTTTGAAAAATCAAAACGTTCATTATAAGAAAAGGGTCTTTGAAATAAGCAAAATCAAATGTTATTTCTCTTTTTTCCCCTTTCTCATCAAATGCTAAAAATAATTTGATCCATTTATTGATAAAATAAAAATTACTAAAGATTCAAATAAAAAAACACAAAAAGATTAAAATTTTGAAACAAAGTAAAAATGTAAGAAGCTCGGTAAGCAGATCTATTGACAGAGACCCAAAGGATTCTCACAATAACCGGCCAGTTAGCTTCAATATTATTTAATTTGGCTACAGCCACTATGGCACATTCAAGAATAAGGGTATTGGATTTTTTTTGTTACCACCCTTTCTCTTGGTACATGTAGCTTTTAACAATAACAACAGAGAAAATCAAAGTAACATTATAACAATCAAATTATGAGAAATTGAGGGAATGAGAATATCAAATAAACATTAAAACAAACAAATCAGAATAAATGAACAATAGCGGCAGACCTAACCCTAAAACTAATTGTGAATGATGTGAAAGAGCTGCTTCGTATTTATAGTCGCTGTGTGGTTCTGACTGGACCAAAGAATAGATCACGGCCGTTCATTTTAGTCAAATCTGATGGATATTATTAGTGATGGTATAGAATAAAATTAATACTAGGAAATAGGGGTGTTTGTGTGAGGTAGATAACTTTTTGAGGAGGGATTCATTGACTCCACATTTTAGCCATCAATTCTAGGGAAATCCAATGGTTTGAATTAATGGGTAGATCTAAACCATTGGATTTCCCTAAAATTGAGTAAGTGGATCTCCACCCTCACTTTTTTAGGCACAAAAAATTCTTTCCTTTTCAAAATATAAATAATATCTTCTTTCATCTATTTATATTGACATATTTGATCTAATTAAAAAAGTTATATATATTTTTAGGTCTAGTTTAATTATATTTTCAATTAAAAAATATATCCCTATAAATTTTTTTTTACATATTCAATATTGAGAAAGCCAGCTTATTTTAACAGATTTATTATGAAGAATGCAAACTAAATATTAGGTCTAAAGATATCCATTGTGAAGAATGCAAACCAGATATTAGGTCTACAACTAATTCTCTTAACCATGAACATCAATATACTTTTTTAAATATGTGAAATAGGTTAATCATTCTTGAAAAATCAAATCTTGAAAAATTAAATGGTTCAGATCTATTTGTTAATTCAAATTACTTGATTTTCCAAGAATATATCACTGAGACGTGGAGTATGTTTTTTCCACTTAATCTATTCCCAATTTTATATTACTAATTAAATTGTCTTATAAATGACATAGAGAATATATTTTAAAGATTCTATTAGTGTAAAATAAAAATAAGTAGTTCAATTCTATAATTTTTTATTTTTGAGTAATGAAATCCTAACATTAGTTTTATTAATATTATTTTTCACACTTATTTCATAATTATTATTGAAAAGATGTCCACTCTTCGAAAGAGTAATGCTATATCCTAGTAATTTAGCGTATATTCATTATTTTTTGGAAAATTATATATTCTCATACTAAATCCTCCTAGTCACAAAAAATGAAAATATTTGATTTTCCAAAAAAATAATAAATATATGCTAAATTACTAGGATATATAAAAATTAGTAATATTTGGTTTTACTAAATAAATAAGCGAGGCTAGTGAATCATGAATATTTTTCTTATAAATAAATAAGTAATATTTGGTTTTATTTTCCCATCTATATAAAGGCGGTGATCGGAGAGGCCAGTGAGTCGCCACCGAATCAAGAAGCTCAGATCTGATAAAGATGGAGGCTGTTGGGGCCCGACTGGGGCGGTCATCGACCCGTTATGGACCAGCCACCGTGTTCACTGGACCGGTGAGAAAGTGGAAGAAGAAATGGGTCCACGTGTCACCTTCTTCCTCTAATTCCAATACCAATCACAATCATTCTTCTAACGGTAACAACAATTCCCACCTCCAGTTATATAAATGGACCCCAATAACTCTAAGCCAGAACAACAATAACGGAAACCCCGACGCCGGCAATGATGCGGCGGAACCACCGGAAGAACCACCTCGCAAAAAATTTAAATATGTTCCGGTATTTCAACACAATGTTATTCTTTTATTACTATTATTTTCTTTTTTCTTCGCCGTGAGTTTTCTTATATGATTATTGCTTTGGTAGGGTTTTTAATTTAAGAAACTAAGAATTGAGTTCAGAGGTTTACATGATTTGGCGCTTAGGCTTAGGAATGAGGGAATTAAATTTGCAATTTATAATTTTTTTTCACTGCATTGAACTTTACATACTAGGACCCCAGAGTGCACGAGGTTCTCACCTAGTGGATTATGGGTTGGTTAGAGGTACACTGCCTTATCCACACAAACGAAGATTCTGTTTCAGGATTTAAACTCACGACCTCTGCTTCACAGGACAAACAACCTTATCTATGATAATAACACTCCTTATAAATAACTATGATTGTCTAGTTTGTCATACTAGACAATATGTATGCTTATAAATACATGTATATATATATATATATATATAACTATGTGGTTGCTATGTTACTTGATAATAGCACTGCTCAGATATGCCAGCAGAAAGGCTACTATGAGTTAATAACCATGTACAGAAGCCAAATGTTCTGCACTTATGGATACAAGGAATGTTTATAGATTAGAGCTAGGGAAATGCATGTTGTGTGCGACTGAGTATTCGTATTACCAAACATGTTAGTCTTGTACAAAGATGATGTCAAATTTGTTTGTGATGGATGGTGATGCTGGATAGTTTTACAATTCTGTCAATTCGTGTATTTATATGTTTTCAAATTCATCAATAGCAGGAACAAAAGCCTTTACCTGCTTGATTGCAATTAATCAATTGCAATTAGCTAATCAAGATAGTAGTACATGTATTTGTGATTCTGGCACATTTACCACATTGGTTCTGTTTTTTCTGTTATAGGCAATGGAGGAAAGGAAGAAATATAAGAATGTGAGGATGCTTAATTTGTTGACATTAATTTCTCTCTCTCATTGTTCATGAAAATGCCTTTTTTGTGGCAATCCAAATGACAAACGTATAAAAACTAATTAACTTTTTGTTACTGGAAACTCCAGGGAATAGTACTGTGTTGGTAAATTAGCTGCATTATCTTATTACTAAATGTCATATTGTCAAACTACCCACTCTGGAGTACCACTTGGCAAAAAGTTGTAGAAAGTAGATGCAGGGATCCTGATCTCTCTCTTGAACTTCTCTATTCTTTTTAGGAGCATGGGATAATTCAACATCCCCATGTCAATGGTTCTTAGCTGAATACATCCATGAGATAGCTGATCTCATTTCCTGAACAGCTGATAATAACATTGAAGTTCCTGACAAGTTTTTGTATTATAGGATTATTGATAGAACATTCAGGATAGGTTTTTTCTTTGTCCGTTCTATTACTAAGACATGTATACCTTGAAAGATTGGCAAGACAAATTTGGTTCTCAAAATTAATTTTTGATCATCACATGTATAATAGTATAGTCCTTGAAAGATTAGCAAGACCAATTTGGTTCTCAAAATTAATTTTTGATCATCACATGAGTCCTGACATCTATTTGGTCCTATTAAACAGTAACATTGGGAATATTCTGATGTAAAAGATGTATTATGCTTGGATGAAATTGATGTAATAATCCTTTGCCAAATTAACATTTTGACATTCTTTCAATGACAAGAATAGGGGTTCACTCTACTTTTAGTTATTTTGACGCATCTTTAGTTTGTTAGATCTAAAGAAAAAGTGATTTTCTAATGCTGCATCACTGGTAGGATTTCAGGTTGGCTGTGACAATTAGCTGATTTTGCTCATGGTGCCATACTGCCATGATATTATTTGTTTACTAACAAAAGATGGATGCGGATCACATATCCGGGCTTAATCTAGTGAATTGGTCTGTGTTGTAGTATTGTACACTGTTTCTTAGGTACTTTACACTTATGTTGGAGATGGTTTGTGCAATCTTCAATGGTATTTGTCATGTTCTGTATGAACATGCTCTTTGGTCTTTAGATGGAGTATACCACTGGGAACTAGAATCACCTGCCATTTTGCTCTCAAATTCAACAGTATTGTACTTATGAGTACACAACTGACAATATCCGACAGTAATCACTATATAGTATACTGGACTAACTGGAGTTTCTTATCCATAGTCATCCTTGTTACACACATAGATGATGAATCATTCAAGTTTTCCTTCTTTTGCTTCTATATTCTGAATAACCTAGATGGGTGATGATAATTTAGTACTGGTATCTGTTAAATGTTGAGAGGATTGGCAAGACTTGGTAATCTAGGCTGTCTGATAACCCAGGTCGCTGTACTAGAGGAGAGAAATGAGGCTGCAGAAAATGAGGCTGCTGAGAAGGTTGAAGATGAAGCTAAACCAATTGATGCTGATCCAAGTGTGGCGGAACCAACTCGCAAGAATGAGAATTGGGATGAAAAACCTGACATAAATGATATCCCAATGGAAGAAAGTGAGGTAAACCTTTGTCTTTTCATTTACTTCATGTTTTTCTATATATTCTTCTATATTTCCAAAATAAATATTGTCTATCAGGTAATGACTGCAGTAACACTCTATTGTAGTAGAAATAGACAACGTTTCTTTCTTTAAGATTAGATAATGATGATTTTCATCTGTCTTGTTCGACTTTGAACAAAAAAGTTCTATGCTTCAAACAAGCAATATGGAATTAGAAGAATTATAGATTGGGAATTATTATTATCATAAATCTGATTCATTTACATTATGTCTTGTTTGTTATTAGTTCAAAGTTAAACTCCACACAGTCACTAGTGAGCCACTTGATCTAATTTCTCTAATATTGATTTCGGTCTTCTATTTCAGTCTCAGGGCAAAAATCAGGTAGTACGTCAAGATCTAAATGAAAGCTTGGATTTAAGTTTGGGGTTGACATCACACGACGATGAACATGATTCTGATTCAAAAACTCAAACAAGAGATGGCCAATAACTGAAGGTGATTTCGAATATGAACAGGAGTGTCAATTCTTTGGATAGGGAGGAACATAAATGCTTCATTTTGGGAAATTTGTCTGATGAAAGGGCATTTACCCAATGGCTTGTATGTTCACCCAGTGGTTATCTTAGGTTGGAGTTATGTAACAGCATATCCTATAGTATGTTTTATTTTTCATTGTGTCCTTGTTGGGCACACCTTAATATGAAGTGCAGGAAGAGATAATATATATTTTTCCAAAATCATTGG